ACCTTGTTGTCTCGGATTCTCCAGCATCTGCAGTTCCTACTATCTCTGATTACATTTTAAGGAGAACTTCTTTGTCAGAAAAAGAACATGGTGAAATAAAAATCAGATCAGAGCTAAAAATCCAGTAATGGTAATGATGAAAAGAAAGAAATAGTTTAGAGTTTAGTAACTTTCTACCTTTTCTTCTTTCATGCTGGGAAGTTGGATTGTTAATCCACGGGCCCAGGTTCGCATCCCGCCATGGCAGATGGTGGAATTTGAATTCAGTTGGAAAAAATAATCTGGAATTGTGATTTAATGATGACATCATTGATTGTCAGGAAACCCCATCTGGTTCACTAATGCACTTAAGGTTGGCCATTTCCTTCCCTAAACTAGTCTGGCCTACGTGTGACTCCAGACCCACTGCAATGTGATTGACTGCTAACTGCTCTCTGGGCAATTAGGAATGAGCAATAAATGCTGACCTGGCCAGTGATGTCCGCATCCTGTGAATGAATAAAAAGTAAAGTTCAGGCTTATGCTTGTGGACTGAATGGAATCTTTGACAAAATGGTTACTCCCCAGTCTCAAAGAGACCATGCCACAAGGTGAGTTTTGTAAACCTATTATTTCAAAAAGCAGGGTATTTGGGAGTTTTGTAACTGGTGCTGGGAGAAGCAAGCTTTGCCTAAAAAAGGTTCCAGAAAAAAAAGCCAGAAATCGAGAGAGAACTTAAGCTCATCTAACAAATCTGTATGATAGATCAGAGAATGGAGAATTTTATATTTTCAGCTTGTATTAAATTTAAACCTAGATCTGGAAATGAATGGATAAAATGGCATTGTTAAGGAACTTTGGGTTTAACTGTGTGCAAATCTGTGGTTACTACTTGGACATCTGCAATGTTTTCATTTGCTAATTGATTCTATTGATGTACAATAACACTTGGGTCAAATTACAAATAATCTAAATCCTAACCCATCATTCTGACAACAGCTGCCATGTGGGAGACAAAAACAGAAGTTGCTGGAAAAGGTCAGCAAGTCTGGCAGCACCTGTGAAGCGAAAATCAGAGTTAACGTTTTGGGTCCGGTGACCCTTCTTCAGAACAACTGCTATGTGGGGGACCATCTTATTCCCTCATCAGCAGATCTGCCCCAGACTGAATACATGCAAATATGTACGGGGAGGGGATGGCCACATGACATTATCACTGCACTGTTAATTCAGTGACCCACATAATGCACTGGGGACACAGGTTGAAATCCTGCCATGGCAGATAGTGGAATTTGAATTCAATTAAAAATCTGAAATCAAGAGTCTAATGATGACTGTGAATGCATTACTGAATGTCAGAAAACCCACCTGGTTCACTCATGTCCTTTTAGGGAAGGAAACTGCTATCCTTACTTGGTCTGGCCTAGATGCAACTCCAGACCCACAGCAATGTGGTTGACTCTGAACTGCCTTCTGAGTAATTCAGCTAGGCAATAAATGCTGGCCTAGCCAGCAACATCCACATCCTGTGAATGAATTTAAAAACAATTGGGGTGAAAAATGGCTGTGTCATTTCTATTAATAATGTTCGTCGCTCAACACTCTGCCCTATATTGATGAAGCCTTCGGTTGGAATAGAGCTCCGTGACAGGGCAAATGAAAAATTGTTCCACATGTCTTGCCTCCATTCCAAAACCAAGACCATCTCAATCTCTTATTATGATGCTGATTGCATGTTTATGCTGTCAGGAGTAGCTCCAAATCATTGTCACTGAATTCACGCAATGATATGACAGAATGGGCCTTAGGCTAAACATTCAAAAAAGAAAAGTCCTTTGCTACCCTGCAATTGTACAGCAGTTTTCACTATCAAGATCCACAGTTAACTGCTGGACAATGTGAATTTATTCACCATCTTGGTAGCCTCCTTTCAGCAAGGTCAGACGTTTGATCAAATTCAACATTGCTTCCAGTGTGCCAGCGCAGCCTTGGTCATCTGAGGAACAGAGTGTTTAATGACAGACCTCAACTGGCATCAAGCTCATGGTCCACAGGGCAGTAGTGCTACCTGCCGTTCTGTATGCATTGGAGACCTGGATAAAATACACCAAGCATCTTGCATCTCTAGGGAAATATTCCCACAATACCTATGCAAAATCCTTCAAATCCAATGACAAGATAGGTGTTCTCCTATCAAAATCCTTGCTCAGATCAAATCCCAAGGCATTGGTGTGCCACATTATCCACGTGACTGATACAAAATTTCCAAACATGAGATCTCTACCCTGAGTTCATTGTGGTAAATGAGAAAAATGCTTCAAGGGCATCTGCAGAGTCTCCCTGTAAAAACAAAAATACAGCATCCCCAGTGACTCATGGGAATCTCTTGTCCTTGACTGCTCAACCTGGAGTAGCAGCATCTGTGCAGGTGGCAACTGTCTTGAGCATCTCTAAAGTCCAGGTGGAGACCAAATGCAAACAGCAGAAGAACATGTGTAAATCTGACCACTGTACCCATCTTTCTTCAAACATTATCCACCCCATCTGTGACCTTTGTAGGCGGATCATTCATTGGATATTTAGTCATTTCAGGATCTATAGCTTGGAGTAGAAGCAAGTCCTCCTCTGTCTCAAGGGACTGCCTAAGACCTCTGCCTTTTGTGATCTGCATTCTCTTGTAATTCACGCAAGAGGATCACTTTTTTTTATGAATACTTGTTAATGTATGAATAACATGTCTTGTACAACTTTTAAATAGGACCGGTTTACCAAAACTATATAAATTGATAACATATCCAGTAGCACATCTCTTTCAATATAGTAACACTCCCAGAATTTATCTTGGGTAAAGAGTACCGAATGGAGTACAATTTAATGCGTTAACAACTGCTATGTTATCTTGTTGCAAAGTCAACATTATGATCATGAACAAAAGCCATATGGTATAAAAACTGCAGTAATGCAAAGTTAATGAGCTTAATGTAATAATTTTGAAGACTTGAGATTGTTGACAAGATGAACCCTATAATTTTATGCAGTATAAACAAGTAGTATTTGTACTCTTCCAGTTCAAATCTGTAATGTAAACCAGTTTATTATTTAGTTGTTGTATCCACTGTTTTCTGCTGTAGTGCTTGCTTCTTGTCTGGCACTTTCTAGTTCTTCAGTCTTTCTCTTAATCTGATTTACTTTGCTGCATATAAAATGTTGTATTTTCAAACTCCTTTTGGAATGTGAAATTTTGTGGCAAAGGAAATGCACTTTTTTGGACTGAGAGAATGTGGCCGGTTCAAATATTTACAGACTAGTGTGATGGTATACCATGTCAAAAATCTTGCTACTCATGGGGTTCTGTATTCTACAGTATTTAAAAGTTATCTCTTTACTTCAATATTCTGTAAGTACCCTAACATAATTTATCACTTGCAGGTGCAATCACTCACTGAGTTCCTGCTGAAGTCATATCCTCCCACCTGATAGTTATTTTGATCACCTATTCCAGATTGTGGGTTGTTCTGGCAATTTTCAACTCCTCCAGTTAAGGTTGTTAGTTCTGTGGTTGTTTCTCGGTTTTATGTTTCATGGTGAACTTAAAAAGTCAAAAGTTCACCTGCGGGCAAAGCAACCACTTAAGGAGACAAAAGGGACGTTGTCTTTTATTAGTCGGAAATAGACTGTGAAAGGCCCAAACAGGCCTACACAACATAAAAGATACAAAATAGCAGACAAAAACATATCCTTCCCTGATGCGCTCGATGCTTTCTATGCTCTGTTCAAGCAGGATGCCAGTGACGCGGTGTCACCTGCCCTGACAGTCATAGATGCATCTGTTCCCTCTCACTGAAGGTAGATGACAACAGCACCTGCTCTGTGATAATCCTTAACATTGGCGCCCCGCAAGGAAGTGTTCTCTGACTCCGTTGTACACTCTGTATACTCATGACTGTAGCCAAATTCTGTACAAACACCATCTACAAGTTTGCTGATGACACCAAACAATGGTGATTCAGAATACAAGAAGGAAATAGTGCTTGGTGTCATGGTGCAATGATAACAATCTCTCTCAATGTTGGCAAAACAGAAGAACTGATCAGTGACTTCAGGAAGAAACGAGGACATGCTCCTGTCTACATCAACGGAGCTGAGGTGGACAGGGTTGAGAATGTCAAGTTCCTAGGAGTGACGATAACCATCAATCTGCTGTGGACCTCCTGCCTAGATGCAACGGCCAAGAAGGCACAACAATGCTGCTTCTTCCTCAGGTGACTTAGGAAATTTGGCATGTCCATAAGGACCCTCACCAACTTTTACAGGTGCACCTTAGAAAGCATTCTATGCAGGTACCTAACAGCCTGGTAGGGCGACTGCTCTGCCCAGGACCGTAAGAAACTACAAAAGTTTGTGTGCACAGCCAGACCAGCACGGAAGCCAACCTCCCATCCGTGGACTCTATTTACTCTTATTGTTGTGGAAAGGCTACCAACATCCAGAGTCTCCTCCCAACCCAGTAATGCTCGCTTCCAACTTTGTCCATCAGGCAGAAGATGCAGAATCTGAACACCTGCACCAACAGGTTCAAGAACCGCTTCTTCCCTGCTGTTGCAGATGTTGTAAATTGGTAACAAAAACAGAAGTTGCTGGAAAAGCTCAGTAGGTCTGGCAGCATCTCTGAAGAAAAATCAGAGTTAAAGTTTCAGGTCTGGTGTTTAACAGTCTGCCGTGGACCGGACCTGAAACTTTAACTCTGATTTTTTTCTTCGCAGATGCTGCCAGACCTACTGAGCTTTTCCAGCAACTTCTGTTGTTCTCGCCTGCTGTTATTAAAATGCCATAACTTCAAATAATGTTCATCCTGCTAACTTCGATCTTGCTTTGTGCATCTCCTATGCAGCTGTAACTTTATGCCTCGCTGTAAGTACCGTATGATCTGTATGTCCTTGTTTACAATGATCTGCCTATACTGCATGTAAAACAAAACTTTCCACTGTACTTGGGTATATGTGACAATTATAAATCAAATCAAATAATTTGTCAGGATGTTGCCTGTATTGGATAGTTCGTTACGAAAAAAGATTGGATGGACTGTTGTTTTCCTTGGAGCAGAGGAAACTCTGGTGAGGGAGCATGATTGAGATGTGTAAAATTATGACGGGCATACAGTTAAAGCAATGTTTTAAATTGTGCTGGGTCGAAGTGGATTTTAGATGAACTAATATGTAAATGAGTTTGCACCAAAACCTGAGGAGGGGGGTGAAAGAACCCATATCCCAAAACTAGTGCAGTTTTCACTCAGTAGCTGACTGCACCTAAAACAGAACCTCTACTTTCCTAATTAGTGCCAGCATAAATGGAAAGCATTACAGAGGTCCATAGGACACAGGTTATTGATCTTGGTTTTTTTTGTAGTTTAGGAAAATAAGCCATGAATTCATTAAATTGCTTTGTATTTTTTCAATGCAGGTGTTGGTTTACACTGACAAGTAGTGTTTGGAAATGTTTTGCTATGTAGCATGGAGGCAGCTGGTAACTTATTATGGCTCATCTAATTGCTGAGAAGGTCTCTTTGCTAAAGAAATTGTTGTGATTTAAATGTTCCATCATATTGTGCATTATTCAATCAATTGCATTGCACATTTTCAGCTGATACCATAAGTTTCTTCGTAACTCACTTGCATTAAGAATCAAAGCTGGAGGAAGCACATGTCAGAAAATTAGATATTATGACTTTCATAATTGAAAATAATTTTTAGTCACACAGTATTTGATTATCTGAATGTATCGATGGTCTTAATACAAGTATGTGTATATTTGTATGTTCTACACGTAACTAGAACTTCTTTTTTAATCTCAGGGTGCGTTATTGCAGAGCTATTCACAGAGGGGGTACCTATGTTTGATCTGTCTCAACTGCTGGCTTATAGAAATGGACATTTTTCCCATGAGCAGGTGCTGAATAAGATTGAAGACTTGAACATAAGAGGTTTGGTAAGCATAGAAAGCTCAAAATGCTTAGTTTTGCCAAAGATGTGCTGAAGTAAATCTGGCTGAATGTGCAGCTTTTAAAACCAATGCTTAATATGTTTTTCAAGTGAAGTTTTGAGGAGTGGCTCAAAATGATGAGATGATTATTTCATTGTGCCTGCTCATCTTGAATTGCTTTTATAACTAATTTTCAGGTTGTGGGTGATGCTGACATTTATAACTCATCTACAGTTGTCCTGACAACTTAATGGTTTGTCTTCTTTTAATCTCCAAATGGTATTCAGAGTCAGCCTTCCTATGATGCTGCTTGGCCTGCTGTGTTCATCCAGCTGTACACCTTGTTATCTCAGATTCTCCAGCATCTGCAGTTCCTACTATACCTGAGTAAAAGTGGACATGGTTTTCCTCCCTTGCAAAAACCACTTGGGCTTCTGGTCACTTTTCTGGTGCTTGCTGATAAATGACTAGATTTATCAAATCTACGTTTACAGCATACCAAACTGGGATTTGAACTCTTACTACTGTATTATAGTACTATAATTCACTATTATAACAAGTACTATTAGGCTTGCATGTTAATGTAACTATATAAACCCTCAATTATTTTACACTTCTAAAAAGTTTTGTAATCCCATTTCTTGTGCAAGACTTCAACATTTTGCCATTTCATGACTTTAGTCTCAAATGTGTTGACTGTTGATTTATAATTCCACTGGCGGACTTCCTTGCAAAAAGACCATTCTTTGCATAAGCACGGTTAGTGCATATTAAGGGACCGCTTGACTGTGGAGAGCGCTCTTGCACCAATGGGCTTTCTGCGAAAGATCAAAAGTCCGGAACCCTGGCCTATTTATTTATTTTCGCCCTTCCACTTTTCTTTACAAGGGGCCAAGACTGATTGCAGTGCCTGAAATCAAGTTAGTTGAAATTATTTACAGATCATCAGATTTGTGTGACTCAGTGTAATAGTAGGAGTGCCTTTCCCTCAGAAAACCACTGTAGGATCTCATTTATAGTACTTGGATAACTGATCAGGTAATCCTTTTGACCATGCATCAAAGCACCATCTTCACTTGTAAGGCTAAAGAGTCACATAATTTGTTATTACATTTTGAATATTTAATAAAATATTTATGGGGTACTGTGAAGTTTACTTTTTTAAAATTATTGATTTTCATTTTGTTATCCCTGCCCTTTCTATAATTGGAGTTTAGTGATGAATGTTAGGTTTAAGCAATGGCTAATTGTTCCAAGACTGCTTATCATCTTTTTAAGATCCGATCATTGCTTTTCTCGTATTGCAGGTCAGTCAAATGATTCAGCGTGACCCAGATATGCGTTTAACAGCAGAAGAATATCTTAAACAGCAGAGAGGCAGAGCATTCCCAGAACTCTTCTACACTTTTCTGCAGCCATACATGGCACAGTTTGCAAAAGAGACTTTCCAGTCTGCTGATGAACGTATCCTGGTAATACGGAAAGACCTAGAAAACATTCTGCAAAATATTTGTGGAGAAGACCAGACTGATAAAAATGATGGACAAACCAAAGATCATGGTTTGATTATTTTGGTATCAGTTATCACTTCTTGCTTGCAGACACTGAAGTACTGTGATTCTAAACTAGCTGCTTTGGAACTGATCCTTCATTTGGCACCCAGACTAAGTGGCGAGATTCTGCTTGATCGTATAACACCTTATCTGTTGCATTTTGCAAATGACCTCATACCTAGGGTACGAGCTGAAGCAGTCAGAACGCTGACAAAAGTTTTGGCTCTTGTGAAAGAGGTACCACGCAATGATGTCAACATTTACCCTGAATACATTTTACCAGGTATTGCCCACTTAGCTCAGGATGAAGCAACTCTTGTTAGATTGGCATATGCAGGTAAGAATTCTACTTTGAAAATTCTGACTGTATCCTAGTGTACAGCAGATTCATATAAGTGCTCAATGCACTAGCATCCGTTCATACAAATGTTAACACTTTTTTTTTTTGTGTTCAAAATGCCTTAAGTAAGGAGGAAGTGCCCTTGAAAGCCAGAAGCAATATGGTTATGCCAGTATTCTTGAGTCACCTGGTTGAACTCACGTATGGAATGCTTCATTTTAAACTGCTGTCTATAACATCTTGTCTACCATTCCAAAACTTGAGAAACACTCTATAAACCAATTTAATTGGTATTGTGAAAATAATAAGTGACGCACAAAAAATGGTTTAAGGAACTATTTCATATTGTTGAACGGAGCAACGTGTTGCTGAAACTTTTGTCTGCAGCCATCAGACCAAAGGCAACAATATAATTTTTCAAATGAGTGTGACAACTTTCCAAGAGAAAAAGATGCTAATGGCCAAGTTCAACTAACTAACCAATGTATTATCATGGAGAAATCGCCAGAGAACTGTAAGCTTCCCAAGCCTTCAAGTAATTCAAAAAAGGATGTGGATAATGAACACGTTCCTTTCCTTTGCCAAGAACCGGCCGCAGCATGTGGATCTTTGTCACTTTCTGGCAAGTGAAAATGGGTCATGTTATGAGTTCAACTGATCACATTAACTACCAATTTGAAATAGTTATTTGCACACTCAGAATTGTTCAGCAAGTGTTGCCTAATCATGAAATCATTTATAACAATGTGTTTTTGTTTTGGGTTTTATAAGTGCGAACTGGCTGAGTTCTGTGTGCACGGAAAGAATGCACTGTTGCCCTGATCACCCAGTTATTGGAACATGACTATGTATCTGGCGTTTCACCAGGAATGAATTTGAAACGTATATTCCACAATTGTGTGGAAGCAGAATATCTGTGTTAGAGTTTTCCATCGTAAAAGTGAATTTGAGCGTGTTATGGCATGTATTGGTGTCTGTAAGGAAATACCTACTTGCAGCTGAAGTTTCAAAAGTAGGGAATGTAGCATCTATGCATTCGAAATACACCCAGGATAGGAGGTTGGTGTGCATTTAATCAAAAATCTTAACTAGCTTTGGACCTAGACAGGATCCACTAATGATGCTGCAGTCAGTCCAAAAACCTGTTTGTCTATCACAAAATTGAGCAATATGATTGTTGAATTACATTGCTGATGTAATGCAGTGGTGACAGCATGATTGGTTATTCCTAACAAGCAGAGTACAACTAGATTCAAAAAACTTGTGTTTGCAAAATGCAAAGTAAAATATCTGTTGTTGGGTTCAATTCTGCAATTGAGCTCCACTTGCTGAATAATCCCAAATGTGCTAGTAACTACACTAAGAACCAACTTGCGACAATCAGTCAAGCTCATAACATTATGTTCACCCAGAGCGATATTGTCATATACAAGGATGCATTCTCTGAAAACAGTTTCTTCAAGGCTTGTCTTTTTTGAAGTTTCTGGAAGCTGGGGAGCCTTTAAATCTCAACTGTTC